AATGAATAAACAGTGACTGCGCCTAATAACGGAACCAGGGATTCCACAAATGAAAAGCATTAAAATGGGAGAAAAGGGAGATTTTCTTACGATTCGTCGGTGAGAATTAATGTTACATGATACTTTCAAGTCAGAATAACTCGGAATTAGTGTCATACTTTTCAGAAAAATTTTGCCGGTTCAAAGGACCGATAGCTCACCATTTTCATCGGTCCTACCGTATTTAATCGGTCACGACCGCACGGGCGTCAAAGAAATATTATCTGAACCGAGGCCAGTAAAATTTGGAGCTCCACAAGGATCAGTTTTAGGGCCACTTCTCTTTCTAATCATTTTTGGATATATAAACAGAGACATGCACGGCTCTTTCACTGTCTTGCTTGGCAGATGATACCCGAGTAGAACATCCCATCAAAACAGCAGACGTCATAAATCATGCAGTTATAGAAAAGTCTAAATGAAATATGCTCTTGGGCTCAGAGCAATAACATATTCAAATAGGAGATCATGAGACAATGGCGAAAGGGACACCATATACTGGTACCTTTCACAGGAATTGTTAAAACTGAAAAACTTAGTTACAGGTCTTGGGGGGTCACTAAGAGTAATGACTGTACATTGAACATTCAGTCTACATACACTGTACATGTATATCTAAAAAAAGTCAAATCAATGAAAGATAAAATAGCTTGTATACTTCGTACCTTTCAAACACGTGACCAAATACCCAAGTTTACGCTATGGAAATGTTTGGAAATCTTTGGAAATGGTATTACCATAACAACTGAAGCCAGCTTTGGTCTCCGGACAAGGCAGGAAATGTGCAAACATTACACATTCTACAGAAGTCATACATTAGGAACACCTAAGGTTTAGCTGGTCTCAGCTATTGGCGACAGCTTGAAAAACTTCAGCTTTACTTTCTAGAGCGAAGAGGGAACGTTTCTTGATTGTGGATGCCGCAAATGTAAGATTGTTACAATTATTCACGCAAAACCATCAATTCATAAAATAAGGAGGTTCTTTTGCTGTTAAAGCACCCAGTCCTTTCAGTGTCTTACCGCTCAAATTAAGAAACACAAGCTTGTGTTCAGTGGAGCATTTCAAAGATACATTAAACTAGGTAGCTTTCTTGATACATGTAGTATACCAGACCGACGACTGATCCCACGATACACTTAACATCAGTACAGACAGTATGAGACAAACAGTTTATTTCATTGGTTAAGCTCACCTATTACCCCAGCTACTATTGCCTGTGCTGGTGGCCACCATTAAGTGGAAAAACGGAAGTTACAAGTGAGAAAGAGACAAACCCGATTATCGATCATTGCCGTTTTCTGACACGAACCCTATGTTTGAGACCACAAATGCCCAAATTAAAGACTCCAGTCACGGGTTAATTAACAACAAGCTAATTAACATTTCATTTCTTTCAGGAAGGAGTTGTTCTGGCCAAATCGTCTCCAGCCTGCAGTTATCTATTCTTCGATTTCTCCGGTCATCGCCTTTTCCGTTGTCAAGACTCCTGTCAAATATTTCCTCGAGTTCCACCACCTGATTCTCGCTAAACTGCCATCAACTTAAGCGGCCTAGATGTCTGTCACGCCTACTAAAGTTACTAAGGGCTAATAAAGGGAATCGGAGAAGACTGATTGTGCCCGGAAGTGACGTGTAGTGGTGTTAGAAGCGAAGCTGAGTGGTCATTTTAACCTGGAGGTGAACGGGAGAGAAGACGTGTAGTCGGAGGAAATATAACTTTTCCAAACAACCTGGTAAGATAACTCTCATTTTTACGCATTTTGGGCAGAGAATACTTGTAGAAATAAAAGATGCATGATATGAAAACGTGACACGGAACTTGAAGGTGCAAAATCGTGCTTAATTTGCGGTCAACTTGTTTTGAAATAAATGCTGCATTGACCACCAGCGCGACAAAGAGCGTTAAGGGAAAATAATTCCCGGGAGTCTTCAAATCGATGTCATGCGGAAATTTGGCATTAATATAATCTGATATGTCCATATCTAAGTATTTTGGGGTGTTTTATGGTATGGGCTGCAATTATAACGATGTTATAGAGGTCTTGAAGGACCTTATGAAAACCAGGAAGCAGTTCGTAACTAACAACTGAATCGTACCGATCTCCGACTGGTGTGCAAAGCTGTATCTTTTTTCAATATTTTGACGAATTTTTAGATCTTTATATGTCCATCTGACATGAAATTCCACACATATGATCACACTAATACACCTTTTACACTGGGGGAGGAGCTAATCAGTGACAAATGCCAAGACAAAAGTGACATTTTGACAGCCTCTTATCTGAGTTTGAAATCACTGACAAAAGAGACTGGCAATCAATTTCCTCAGGCTGGCAATCATTAGCCTATAGAAATTGGTCATGTTATATCTTATCTACCTGTGAGAATCGTTTTACCAAATTGTGTTTTATAATGGAAAGAAGTGACTGTTGCCTTATGTCCCACACGGGACGAAGAGCACTGATGATGATGATGATACTTTATAATACTACATATGTGAATGCATTTATGTAACTAAAAACCTTCTTTTAAGGATACATAAGAAAATTTGATTGGAATATAAAATCCGAATAACTTAACTCTAATTATGACAGTGTTTAAACAATTTCATCATTTTTTTTTACACAAAAATATGTAGTAATTGTTTAATATAAATATAACATTTACTATATATTAAATCAACAATAATCAAAACCCATGTAACTTATGAGAGCAAAGCCATTACAGATGACAGAATATCTTTTTTCCTGTCACTAAGTATAACCCCTCGCCACCACCACCCTGAAAAATATATACCTGAAATGACTTCCCTACATCACGCTTGATGTTCACTATCCACTGCTTTTTCAGTTTTTCATCTACTGGAAATGTATGGTAGGACAGCTATGTTCCATCTTAAGAAAGTGGGCCTACACTGGGGCAAAGAGGCACACAACATTTCCTGAGACTCAGTAAAATTAAAAGTAGCAAAATTAATACTGAACAATTAATAACAAATGAGCTACTGCACAGCAATCAATGTGCAAGTCAAGACCATTTTGACAGGTAATAAGCTGTAAGATGCCATTAAATGCCAGTCGCGCACTTGTGATTTTTAGCTCAGATAAGAGGCTGTCAGAATGTCACCTTTGTCTTGGCATTTGTCACTGATTTGTGCCTACCCCAGTGTAAAAGGTGAATAAGTGTGCTCATATGTGTGGAATTTCATGTCAGATGGACATGTAAAGATCTAAAAATTCGTTGAAAATATTGAAAAAAAGATACAGCTTTGCACAGCAGTCAGAGATCGGTACGGTTCAGTTGTTAGTTACGAACTACTTCCTGGTTTTTACAAGGTCCTTCAAGACCTCTATAACATCGTTATAATTGCAGCCCATACCATAAAAACACCCCAAAATACTTAGATATGGACATATCAGATTATATTAATGCCAAATTTCCGCATGACAACGATTTATAAACTCCCGGAAAATTTTATTTTCCCTTAACGCTCTTTGTCGCGCTGGCGGTCGATGCAGCATTTATTTCAAAACAAGTTGACCGCAAATTAAGCACGATTTTGCACCTTCAAGTTCTGTGTCACGTTTTCAGATCATGCATCTGTTATTTCTACAAGTATTCTCTGCCCAAAATGCGTAAAAAAAAGAGAGTTATCTTACTATGTTGTTTAGAAAACTTCTTTTTCCTCCGACTACATGTCTTCTCTGCCGTTCACCTCCAGGTTAAAATGACCACTCAGCTTCGCTTCTAACACCATTTGACGTCACACTTCCGGCACAATTCTGACCAATGCTGATCATCTCCGGTACCCTTTATTAATTATTGTTTAGCAGCTTCTGCAGGCGTTACACACATCTAACCCGCTAAAGCTAAAAGAGATTTAGCGAAAAACCCCTTGGATCGATCAAGGCTTGGGAACTCAGTCTGAGTGAAAGGGCCCGGCAGGAAAAGGGCCCGGCAGGAAAGGGCCCGGCAGGATGACCTAGTTTCACCAGTAATGTTTACAGCGGCACTGGAAGAGATTTTCAGGAGAGTAAAAACACAACAACCACAAAACTTGCTAAGATAGGGATTTATTTAGTTTTGCATACATACATTGAATCCCCAATCAACTAAACTAAAAAAAAATTACCTTACCAAAATCCTAGGCCGCAGGCCTTAGGCTTACTCCACAGAGAACCTTAATCAAAAATGTACCAACATACTGACAACATATTCTGAGGCAATTAAAGCTTTATGATAATACGTTCTTAAACATTGGGTGGTGTGGGTGGGACTGCAAACTTAGCATTTTCATATGTTGTCGCTCTGCTGCCCAGCTCTAGACTGATGTGATCATAAGCCAGCCACTCACCAAGAGGAATCCCCCCTTCCCACTATACATGTAAGACACATGTGTTACTAAAACAAAGAACTTCCTTTACTGCAACTGGACAAAGTCCTCTAACCCTGGGGTAAACAATTCCCAGGAAATCACACCTCTAGATGTCTGATCGTGGACACCTGGGCACTTGCTAGAGATAGCCCTTAACTGACTGCAGCTGTGTAATTGTTATGTATTTACTTCATTTCAAATGAAATGTCCATAAAAACACAACAACCACAAAACTTGCTAAGATAGGGATTTATTTAGTTTTGCATACATACATTGAATCCCCAATCAACTAAACTAAATCAAATATACCTAACCAAAATCCTAGGCCGCAGGCCTTAGGATTTACTCCAATCCAATGAGTAGGGATAGAAAAGAAAAGACACAATAAGTTAAAAAAAAAAAAAAACTATAATAGAGGCAACCCTTCCACAACTTTCTTTAAGAAGAACAATTTTGTGCTGACAGATGTCTCTAAATACAGTTTGTAAGCATCAGAACGCCAATCTCCCATCATCTGAATAATTTCCGCTGGCACACCACATTTAAATGCCCAAGAAGCACCTCCTCTGCGAAAGCTATGTCCTGAGAAGTCTTGTGATGAATGTCCAGTTTGGGACAAAACCTGGTGCAGTTTACGAAGGAATTGGGTTTGTGTGAGGACCACCTGTTCTCCATTTAACCAGCAAGAGAATAGGGCCATATTCTCAGGAATGCCGCTAGCATTAAGTAACACTCTTGTTGTAGCTGTCACTGGACACAATGGGCTGTCCTGAACATGCGGTAACGGAACCTGTAGCACTCTCTCCCCAAACTGAATAGTTTTAGTGCCACGCACCTGAAGCAACATCCCACCCTTTGTGAATGACACATCCCTTCGCTGAAGATGATGTCCCACACTGGTCTTAGATCTTGGAAGGAGGTTTGCTTTCCTAAATAACCCGAAAAAGGCCACGAGACAAGCTGCCCAAATAACATGTCAGTTAAACACTGATTATCCAACCGTTGATATATGTCCAACAGAATCGTAGGTGTGATTGCTAGTTTTTGACGGGTTGCCAAGCATTTCTCCCTTTGAATACCACGCAAAACTGTTTTTAGAGCCCAATTGTCCTGGATTGGGTTATCCAAGCCCATTTCTAGATGAATAATTCTAATCACTGCCAGGTACTTTGGGATGGAGCTTGCATGCAATTTCTCTGCTAGGTGAGCAACATATCGACACAATGTCAAATTATCTGCTGGGAAAGCCACATATGACATGGAGGCACAGAAGTGAAAATAAGAACGCAAAAAGGAAGAATAGGTCCTTTTTTGTGCTGTCTGCATAACACAGGGATCTATAATGTTGAATCTTTTTGTCTAAGTGTTCCTCTCTGGCGCTGGTACCTGTTAATAAACAATTTTAAAGTGTCATCAGACATATGGTACTTTGTAAACTTTTGTAAACTATTGTTATCATGCGGAACTATAGAACCTGCACAGATTATGCTGAACCAAAACAAAAATGACCCAATCTGTCCATCCTTGATATGGCATCTGCCCAGCTGTTGGTATGTCCTTGAATGTGCCTACATTGGATAGAGAAATTGTATATTACCGAGAGCCAAAAGACAATACGTAACTGGCTCATAATCACAGGGTCACGTGTAGCACCTTTGTTTATGGCAGCTCTAGTAGTCATGTTGTCGGTATTAATGATGACAGATTTGTTAATCCAAGTAGGTGCCCATCTGAATATAGCAGCAATCACTGCTATGGTTTCCTTCCTGTTAATGTGATAATCCCTGGCGTAGTGGGCATCTATGTTCCAATCTAGATAAGCCCAATCATCTCTGCAGACCATGCCAGCCCCCATGGCTGAGGCATCAGTATACACGTGGACAGTTTCTCTGTGTGGTATGATTAGCTGTTTACAATTAAAGACTTGTATGCACTGTGTCCACCAATCAATATCCCCTTGAAATTGCTCATCTAATCTTGCCTTATGCTTTGCTTGCTTAATTGGTCTTAGTGTGTATAAAATCCGCTGGAGGTAAGCCCTACCCCCTAGAATGATTGCGCACGCCCATGACAGCTTCCCCGCTAACTGTTGCAACTGCTTTAGAGACGCCCGTCTCCTGCTTTTAAATGATCTCAGAACCGTTAAAAGATTTTCTACTTTGTTCTGCGGGAGTGACATAGTCATTGTTGAGGTATTAAACTGAATGCCCAAGAAGGTAAGTTCCTTTGTTGGTCCTTCTACCTTATCCCAAGCAATACTAAAACCCAGCTTTCTCAATAAAAATATCAGAGTGTTCATTGCTTCAATGCACCGTTGTTTTTTTTTTTTGGCTCAATTATTAAAAAGTCATCTAGGTATACCACAGTCTGGAAACCCCTCTTGGACATCATTCTCCTTATAGATTGTGACAGTCGATGGAAAATTCCCGGTGATTTTTTGGAACCAAATGGTAGTGATGTGTCATACATATATGTGAAATCATTGTGTCCCTTGAATTTCCATTTTAATCCCATGAATTTATACTGAGATGGGTGTATCCTGACACTCCGGTATGCCGATTTAAGGTCCACTTTACTTAAATAGGAGTTGTGTTTGTATGAGTTTATTTACGACTTGGGACAACATAACCCTCAGAAGTTTACTGAACGGTTATCGACAATGATCAGAAGGATGCTGACCATATTGAGAATACGTAGATATTCTGTTTGTCATTACTGACATAATAACATGCCTTATGCAACCAGAACTATAGATACTTTATTGACATGACCAGTTTTAAATTAAATACTAATTCAAAAACCTAACAAATTCAGCTATTGTTCACGTTTAAGGAAAATGGTGAAGTAGTTTTGTCACAACTCTGTATATTTCAGCATTACCTAAGCGGATAAGGAAATAAAATAGGCCTACTAAATTGGTGGAATGTTACTGACACTCTTTGATACTATGTCGATCAATGATTTTTATAGTTTTAATATCAGAAAATATCATTCAAACAATAAAATTTTTTTACTGAGATATCTGTCTCTCAGCCTTCATGTAAGTCCGTCTATCCGTCTGTCTGTCTATCTATGTCCATCTTACATGTATCTGTACTGATTTATGACTACGGAAATATGAAGTGACTGTGTATTTAATAATTGTAGCGGACCACGAGTAAATGAAGCAACACCATTGGATAATACTGCCGTTTATTCACGCAGTGAACAGAACTGAACAGAATCTGAACAGAAACTGAACAAAAACTGAACAGAAACTGGACAAAACTGGTGAAAACTATAAAAAGAAAAGAAAAAAATAATAATAATAACAATACAGTGAAATAAAGATAAATAAACTAGATATACTAAACAACTTAATTCATGTGATCTTAACAACAAATAATTGATCTTTGCATGTGTGTAAGTTTTTACTATTTATTATTTTATTTAAAACACTCACACTAGAACAATATCCAGACTCGCTTTCTCCGCTAGCAACTGGCTGCTCAGATACGGCCATAGCAATCTGAGCTGGTACTGTAAATTTATTTGATAACATAAATATACATGTGCGTGTTGGTCATGAAAATGCCACACCCATACTAACATAAACTTTAATAAACACGATGCTCATAACTTAGGTTACTGATTAAACTTAAGTAAACTTTTGTAAACTTTTGTAAACTACACAAAATATCTCTATATAAGTGAATTACACTTTATTAAACACATAAATTTTACACAATCTACACGTAATATCGAAACATACCTCCACTCTGCCAGTAAGTATATAAATGACCGCGCAGAGTACATGCAACATCGGCTTTTATACAGTTCATCACATGACAAGATGAATAGATGTTACTTAATATTGAGCAGTGTTCTAGTTTCTTCTCTAACACAATATAAATAAACATAAGAACAGCGTGGAAAATATAAAATAAAAATGATAACGTATATACAGGTACTAAAGTTATTGTAGGAACCATGTAGTTTCCAAAGAACGCAATAAACCGTCCCCAAATCTAGGGTCCAGGAGATAAAACAAGTCAGTGAAATCTGCAATGTAAATAGGTTTATAATTCACCTATCAAATCCTCACCCGCACTAAGATAGACAAACTCACTGTCTATTAAACATGTACATACGACCCTTTATTTTTACGAGTGGTGGTGAGGGAACGATAGGTTGTTTTTTTTTCTTCACAGTGCACCGGCAGAGTATAACAAAATTCTCGTCGTGACTTTCTGGACACAGCGTGCCCTCAATTACAGGATATGCCTGCCCAGTGTAGCAAGAACGCCTAACTGTGAAACTTTGACCTGGTCAGATAGGCTTACTTTAGGGAAACTAAAAGAAGATCTGTGCAAAACTGAATCATATTTGTATGGGGCAATGTAATCGTCTTTTAACATCAAACAATATATTTGATTTGACAAAAGTAAAGACTAAAATAATCTGATGCTCCTTTATTCAATATGCACCTTCTAATTTGCAATAGAATAAACGGTTTTTATTCCATGTGCAGTAGTTTTAAATCGCCAGAAGTAGTCCTTTATCGTAATTTTATTGAAACGTGAATTATTTTATCATAAGTGCTTTTAACATTTTAATGTGGTAAAAGGAGCTGGGGTACACTTTTATCACTAAATTATTATATGAAAAATATTATCACTACTTTACAACTGGTATAAGATATTCAGAGTTGCCCAGTGTAAAAATTCAACTCGAAAAACTTTACCCAAAGAAATTAACATTTGATCTTCCTTTCCTGATACTCGTCATATATGTCTGGGTAATGGAAAGTCGTTAGCCCGCGTTTATGCTTATTTTTTTTTTAAATTCCCCCATCCTTACTACCTTAATTCTCTCAATGCCTCAATGCAGTCCAAAAACACGTCAAGAAAAACACGTCAACATGGTTGACAAGAGGTGAGGTTTGTCAAAAATGATAATTAAAACTTTTTGGAAACGTTTTCCATAGTATTTATCTGTTAAGCAATTATTATCATTGATTCAATATTAGAGAATATACTTACAGGTGCGTGTAAGGAACTCAAAATGTTTCCCGGAATATTCGTTTATGATAAATGGGTAAATCAATTTATTTGTCCATTGCGGAAAACATTTATACAAGGACAATTTCTTTTATCTTGTTAAATTGTATAGATATAAAGTGCGCTTGTTTAATGAAAATCTGTAATTAGGGGCTCATAACCCCATAACAAAAACATTTAAACTAGAATATCGGCAAAGGATTGTAGCCTTTACACTCACGGCGTGGGGAACCCCCTTAAGACCATCCCAGGGCCCCCACATTACATAAAATGACCCTTTATGTAAGATAATCCCAGGTTCCTTGTCTTAAACTCTGCACACGGAAAAGAATGAAACGACTCCATGTTGTAACTTCAACAGAATACATTTTTCTACACTAAAAGTTACATGATGCAAGTATGACCTCTCTCCTCCTCTCTCTAGCTCCCGCTCTAGATTTAAGTTTACAGATTTTTATACCAAACTCTATCAGTTAAACTGTCCATCACATAACTTAAAAACTGATTGGTTACTTCATACACAAGTCCACCTTCTTCCAGGTGGGCACTCCTAATAACACCCTGTAATCTAGTTCTAACAGATTACTGACTTCGGAACAAAGGACATTAAAATTTGAACTGCAAGGTGTGAAGCATTATCTGAACAACTTGTACAACTTGGATTCCCATGTCTGAATTTTATCAAACAATGGCTTCCTCTGATTGAGTTAATACAACATTATGTATGAAAGTTTTAAAAGTACTAATTACACTTTTTTCTATACTATGGTTCCTGACAACGGTCAACTTTGCCAATCTTCGTGATAAAATCTTGTTCCGGTGTACCATGAAAATCTGACTCCCCTAAAATGTGACTCCCCAGTCAGATTTTCATTATGAAAATGTGACTTCCCCCATGAAAATTTGACTCCCCCTCCACAAAACCTCATAAATGTTATTCTATTTTGAGTATATGACTGTGATCTTGTAGTATGTAAAATGGAAGATACATTGGCACTTTTTTGTAGTTTGCAGGTGATAATTTTCATGAAAAAATAAGAAAATTAAAAATGTGCACATGATGAAAATCTAACTCCCCATGAAAATTTGACTCCCCCTCCACAAAACTTCATAAATCTTATTTCATTTTGAGTATATGACTGTGATCTTGTAGTATGTAAAATGGAGGATACATTGGCACTTTTTTTGTAGTTTGGGAGTCAGATTTTCATGTTACACCGGGATGTAGTTACGCCCCATACTGATTACTATCTCACCTTAAAACCGAAAGGCGTTAAATTGGCAATTAAGGCTTTGCGTTGCCTATGCTTATAAATGGCAGCAAGAAATATAAATTCCGATATTTTAGATTTTTTAGTATCTATGTATTGCTTTAAATCATCACAAAGATAGATACATTATTAAATAATTTGATGTAGGGTTACAACATCCGTAAATACATGTGCCATGTACAATTTTCAATGGCGGGGAAAGGGAGGGACGGGGGTGTCACGTGCATTTACCCCCTATAGCCTTTGGGGGTAAACATACCCTGATGCCCCCTTAATCCTCTTCCATTTAACATAACAAGCGAAGCGCGACATCCAGGCACTATTCCCATCTTTGTTTCTCACACATGATATAAGTATTCAGCTAGCCTGTCAGTACTTTTGCATAAGAGGCGTTCATTCACAAATAAATCCGGCTTCTCTATCACATGGCAGGTGAAAGAAGGCCACACCAAAATGCATACTTATTAAAACGCAATACTCTCTCGGGACATCCCAGTTAGCCATAATAATGTCAGGTTGATAAAACACGGACGTCGGGCTATTCTTCCAAACGCAGTTTTGACCTATGATGCACTCTGCGTCACTCCAATAGGACTGGCCTGAAATGTAATTCAGACACCTTTTAAAAACATGTAGTATTTTTTTTTAATGTACATTTGGTGGAGTAAAGAATGCTTTCTGAGTATGTTTCTTTGTTAGTGTCTGCTGGTTTCGAATACAAAAGTATGTTACCATCAATGTAATTACAAGAAAACATTCAATCACAACTGTTAATGAAGTTCTACAAATTCTTGATATTTCATTTAGAGGTGAATGCGAGGTATCACATAAAGCAAAAATGGTAATATACATTATTGCCAAAAATTGTCGCAAGATTATTAAATACACAGTCACTTCATATTTCCGTAGTCATTTCCTTTATCTATAAATCAGTACAGATATATGTAAGATGGACATAGATAGACAGACAGACGGATAGACGGACGGACATGAAGGCTGAGAGACAGATATCTCAGTAACAAAATTTTATTGTTTGAATGATATTTTCTGATATTAAAACTATAAAAATTATTGATCGACATAGTATCAAAGAGTGTCAGTAACATTCCACCAATTTAGTAGGCCTATTTTATTTCCTTATCCACTTAGGTAATGCTGAAATATACAGAGTTGTGACAAAACTACTTCACCATTTTCCTTAAACGTGAACAATAGCTGAATTTGTTAGGTTTTTGAATTAGTATTTAATTTAAAACTGGTCATGTCAATAAAGTATCTATAGTTCTGGTTGCATAAGGCATGTTATTATGTCAGTAATGACAAACAGAATATCTACGTATTCTCAATATGGTCAGCATCCTTCTGATCATTGTCGATAACCATTCAGTAAACTTCTGAGGGTTATGTTGTCCCAAGTCGTAAATAAACTATGAGTTAGATCCTTTCTACTCCATTTTTAATCTCATTCTAGAGATTTTGAATTTCTGTCCTCAAATATGTTTTTATCTATGGTATAAGAAGCTGGTCAAGAATTCTAATGTAACGCTCACGGTCCACATTACGATTTATCGACACCAGTTCACCAATTCCGTAGAGACCAATGCACACCGATTCCATTATTGAAATGAACTATCTAGCGAGGAAATGTATATATTCTCTGGCACATGAGAAGTGGTTGATGTTCTCCATACTCTCACCTGTCCACCAACGTTGTTCAAGGTGAAGAGGGACTCATCGGAAAATAAAAGATAGGGCAACTTAACCTACCACAAATGCAATACTTCTTGCAGCCCATGTCACTCTTCTTCGTCTATGCACCAAGGTAATAAGCGGTTTCCACCTGGAAAGTCTGATGTGAATTCCTGAATCATGGAGCCCCTTTGAACAATTATTTTGCTAATCCCAACCTGCAAATCTAATTCGATACAAGGTTCATTTACACCAAGCCTTGACAGCATAAAAAGACACCTGTTGTCTCTGACATTTGTCTTACTCTAGGGCCCACTTCGTGGTACTTTATTGACTTCACCAGTGTCCTCCATCCTTCTGCAAACCCTGCAACCGCCAGAAATGGTATGTCTGGTCAGCCTGTAAATAGGGTTTGTACGACATTGGTGAAGCATTGTATGACATGGGGCTGCAAGAACCGTCGCAGGTATTGTAGGTGAAACTGGTGCCATTTTGAATGTTATTAAGGGTCATATTCACTGTTACCAATGTAAGTGGACAAGTGAGAGTGTGGACCACACCATCCACTTCTTATCTGCCAAAGAATATACATTTTTTCGTTAGTCAGTCCACTTCAATAATGGTACGTTTGGTGATGCATCGATTTCTAAGAAATTGGTCAACTACGCTTGATGCATGGGAATCTAAACCACGAGCGTTACACTGAAATTTGTAAACCAAGTAGCAAGGGATGCCTCTTTACCAGAAATACAGAAAGTGTTTTAGAGCTTGGACCACTATAGCCCCCAAAAGATAACTGAGCCTTGAGCAGTCTAGGTCCATATTGAGAACACATGGCTAGAAAACCTTTATACTAACCTATAACATGCGTTTTGTTAGGGAAAAGCACTGGTTAGTAAACCTGTAGTTAAGATACTTCGTTACCAATTTTCAATAAAATGCCAATTGAAAAATCTAAGAAATCCAGCTGCTGTTCACCTTAAGCAAAGTGGTGCAACGCTTTGTCATCTCACTGTAGTTCAGTGCGTGGGATGGTTAATCAAGGGACAAAAATGCGTTAATGCCCTTATAGTGCGCAACGATATTAAAATATGTATTGACAAAAGAAACCGGGAAAACTATTTTTGTCTTATATAGGTATTAATAACGTACCCCGACTCCAGATATTAGCCGCTATAAACTTCAACTCTTCAGCACTGTTCACGGCCACCAAGTTTTTTCCCATGAGTTGACAGCATGCCTGCCCCATCACCTGAGTACCGCTGGTCTTCGAAGAGGGGTCAACAAAATAGTACTCTTTGTTTTGGAAGGTAACCGAGCGGCCCTTGCATCCTGGGTATAGTTCTATTGGAAAATATTAAACTGACAAAATGTTAATACGAACATTACAAACAAACAACTCTCATAAATCAAATAAAACTAAATAACTGAGATAATCACGCCTTTTTAACTCTATTAGATAATAGAAGTCCCCATATTTATCATCAAAATAAATCATAACGAAAATGAATATGCGTGCCATTAGATTAAATGAACATAATGATAATAGATTTATACCTGTAAAAATGTCTTTAAATTGCTTCACCTGGCGCTTAAGCGCCGCCACCTGTCCGGAAAGTGCCACATTCTCTGCTTGGATTATGTTCACTTTTTGTTGTACGTCCTGCAGACTCTTTTCGAAGTTGTTGTCTGAGCGATGTAAATGTTCCACTTCGGCGGTTAAATTCTCGTCCGTCATTCTGGCCTTGTTCGCCTCCCGGCTTAAGGCGCCTAGCCAAGTTTTAACCCACGCTGCTATACCGTCGGCACTGATGTAATTCTTAACACTTTGCGTTGGGAGAGGATAGCTTGAATTTGTTACCGCTCCCTGTGTGTTTAAAACACTCAAAACCACGTACAATGAGACAAAAGAAATGGAATTCATTGTGAAAAAAATTACACTTGCGAGCTGACACAGAACGATCTTGTTACCAGCAGTTAGATTAAAGTGAGAACTGATGTTAGTTATGATGGTAAGTTATTTCATGGTCTCACGATCCCTGTATGGCCTTTGGTTTTATTTAATCAAACTGTAGATACGGTTCTTCATAGTGTAAATAAGTAAAGTAAAGTCAACTGATACAGTGTAATGAGCGATGTAAATGTTCCACTTCGGCGGTTAAATTCTCGTCCGTCATTCTGGCCTTGTTCGCCTCCCGGCTTAAGGCGCCTAGCCAAGTTTTAACCCACGCTGCTATACCGTCGGCACTGATGTAATTCATAACACTTTGCGTTGGGAGAGGAAAGCTTGAAATTGTTACCGCTTCCTGTGTGTTTAAAACACTCAAAACCATGTACAATGAGACAAAAGATATGGAATTCATTGTGAAAAAAATTACACTTGCGAGCTGACACAGAACGATCTTGTTACCAGCAGTTAGATTAAAGTGAGAACTGATGTTAGTTATGATGGTAAGTTATTTCATGGTCCCACGATCCCTGTATGGCCTTTGGTTTTATTTAATCAAACTGTAGATACGGTTCTTCATAGTGTAAATAAGTAAAGTAAAGTCAACTGATACAGTGTAATGAAAAGCACAGGATATTTGTTCACGGCATGGGACTTACATTTAAAAATAGCTGTAGTAGGCTTACATGTGAATATTACACTTGAAATTGTCTGTCATAATTGAATCATTTTTGTTACGACATGCACACACAACATTAAAAATCTATAATGGTAATCATTCTGTCGAGATTTTGATGGATAGTGGGGGCAGACATAATGCCAGACTCGTGTATGCGGTACTGTAAACCTGACAATAGTATACTACAGCGTATAGCTGCCTACTCTTGGCTTTGAGTAGAATACAGAAAAGCGTGTGATATTTCGAGTACGTTGGGAACAAGAGAAGTCTTGTTAACCTGTAAAACTGATTTCTTTCAGCGAGATTCCCCGGAGTGTAGAACGATAGTTTCATAGGAAACGAGCCCAACTTTGTAACAGAGACATCTGATTTAAGATAACACTGTACAAACTGTAAACGGATTACTACTGGTAACTCATCTGGGAGGTGATAGTTTGGGATTGTCTCCCTCGCACTGCATAATGTACACCACAGTGGCGGATCCAGAGATATTTGTGATAGTCTTCCAAATTATCCTTGTTGCTCCATTCCCATTTTTGACCGTCTTCCGACAAAAAATTAGATACCCATCAATGTAAAATTGAAAATCCGATCGTCTTCCGAAGACATAGAAGACGGCTTAAATCCGCCCCTGCAATCATACCGTAATCTCATTGCCATAATTTCATAAGCACTATTAGTTGGGAAAATGATAAAACAGATCGATTCACAAACACTTTAGTCGGTAGGAGTGATTCAGGTCAATATATAAATTACAAATGCAAAGTTGTGCAAGGAGTTGTGTGAAATCAATATTGGTCAACACACAATTCCACATACACGCTGTTTCATGCGTTCCAGGGCCGGTTGCACCAACCGGTCGTAAGTGAGGCGTAGCAGTTGCGCCGGCGTAAACCGGGCGCAAAATGCTACGCCCGAGAAAAGCCAGTTGCACCAAACTGGAGTAGTGTTAACGTCGGTCTTAACTTAGTCATAAATTTACGCCTGCCAGGTAGGTGGAGTAAGTCGGTCGTAGCAAAATGGCGAGGCTTGTTCACAGAGAATTTGATGAACATTTTCGACGAGCTCTAAGGAGGGAGAGGGTAATCAGGGAAGGGGTAAACCCTTTGGAAGTATATGATGATCTAGAACTGTATGAACGTTTCAGACTGGATCGGAGGGCCATTCTGGATCTGATGGACATAATCGGAGGTGACTTGGACTTTCAAAGTCGTCGAAACAAAATACTATCGCCTGTAATACAAGTCCTTATTGCATTACGTTACTTTGCATCAGGATGTTTCCAGTCTTTAGCTGGAGACATGATAAACGTACGTATGCACTGCATCGAAGTACAGCAAGTCGAGTCATAAACCGTATGGCATCATCTATTGTGCGCAGGTTTGATGAATTTGTAGCCATGTCCGCGGAGGATGCAAATGTCGCAGAAGGCAAAAGAAAGTTTTACACCCTAGCAGGCTTTCCACATGTCATTGGGTGTGTGGATGGAACTCAAATACCTATCATCGCTCCCAATGAAAGGGAGTGGGAATATGTCAACAGAAAGGGACGACATTCCATCAACGTGCAGTTGATATGTGATGCTGACTTGCGTATTATTAATGCAGTTGTGCGATGGCCAGGATCAACACATGATTCACGTATTCTCAGGGAGAGCAATGTTTATGAGGTAATGGAACAGAATCCTGAGAGGGGTGTTATTCTCGGCGATAGTGGTTATCCACAATTACAGTGGCTTATGGTGCCATTTTATAATCCTGTTACAGAGGGACAGAGAGAATATAACAGAGTCCACATGTCCACACGAAGCACAATAGAACGTTGTAATGGCATTCTCAAGAGGCGTTTCTCCTGTTTAAACACGATTCGCTTAATTATCACCCCCAGAGCTTGCAATGTCATAATGTCCACAATAGCTTTACACAACCTATGCCTGAGGTACAGGGATATTGGAAATGAACTAGAATTGCAGCCTCATGAGCCAGAAGAGAGGGCAAACGTATTGATGGTTTGAACTGTCCATAAATATAAGAGGATATTTAATGCAATTATATATCATATTATCTATATATTATATTAAAAATAACTAAATAATAAACGCAATAAATCTATGGTGACACATTTTATTAAAGTAAATTCCTAGAAAAGGTATATTGAAAATTCCATCATTTTAAACAGTAAATAGAGGCAATCCATCACTGGCAAACATGAAAAGAAACTTTGACAGAATATCACAGCCGATGTCAATGCTATGGCTACAGCTAATCGAACCTTGGAAGTGTTAAAAAAAAACAAAAACAAATGAAAATATTTGTACGCCAAGATGAAAAGAAGGGAATCTCTAACTGAAAGCAATCTTTAAGACAGGAGGAGGCACAATTATACCAGTACAACCCTTCATAAATTCTTTGCCCTAAGTAGTTTGATTTCCAAGTTCAGTTTCACGATTTCTCTACTCAACTTGCGTTTTCCAATTTCTCAATTTCGTCCTTAAGCAATATTTTGTGCAGTTCTCTTTCTGAGCAAGAAGTAGCAGAGCGTCTCCTCTTGGTTGATGAAGCGGTTGAATAAGATCGTTTTCGTTTCGATGTGCTAAATGTGGCTTCTGATGCATGTAACTCTGATATTGATTCCATAGGTGTTGTCGACATAGACGCTACCGCGCGGGCTCTACACTGGACGCTGCCGTGGGCTGCACTGTTGTTGCTGCAGTCTCCGTGTTCGACTCTACTGGCGGTACACTACTCTCTGATGGCGATTTTATATATGAAAAGAAACATTTTTATATTAAAAATTACTTCTTAGACTTCATGAAGCATCATATCAAGAACCATTTATTAAGTTTTTAAACTAATAATGTTACTTTTCACAGTGTAGAAACACATAAGATATCTAATTTATTAAGAAAAGATAAAATGAATTACCACTATCATTTGACTGTTCAATGATAAAACAAGCGTTGCTACCTGTATCAGGTACTTGAGGTGTCTCACAATAACACCACTTTCTCCTCCTACAATAATTCCTGTCATTGAAGGAGCATTTTCACCCACTATGTCCAGAATTATATCGGTGTAGGGGCCTTCCACTGGCTGTTTCCCTCCTCCTGTCTTGGGCCGCTTTCTGTTTGAAAGATCCTTCTTTGCCTTGGAGTTCAAATCCATTTGTGTTTTAACTCCCCCACACTTCGATTAGCTGCACCTACGGCATTGACTTCGGCCGTAATGTTCTGCCAAAGTTTCTTTTTCTGTTCGGCAGTGGTTGAGTTGCTCAGTTTGCTGTTTAAAATGATGGAATTTTCAGCATACATTTCTAGGAGTTTCCTTATTTCTCCGTCACTGAAATTTCTCCTACTAGCTTTCTTGGACAGCTTGGTCTCCATTCTACTGTCGAGGCTATGATTGAAGCTACGAAGTCAGTATTTGCTTATTAAAACCAACCTCGACTTGCTGAACACTCATTCAACGAAGTGTTGATCGGGCGTAGCTAAGACTGTAATGTTTTGTCTTGGTGCAACGGGCGTAAAGAGGGAGAGTAAACCTGGCGCATGGACGCCAGGCGTTGCGGTTTACGACCGTCGTAGCGGAACAAATTTACGCCCCGTTGGTGCAACCGGGCCCAGAACTTTTGCCCTTATTCACTGTACCACATTGATCGTTGCACTAACCACTTGACGTACGTCCTATAATGAATATTAAGACATCCAAAATATTCTACGACAAAGGGTAATTTCAGATAACAGGAATCCCCCAGTTATATAACTACAGTTGAAAAACAAACAAAAAAATGTTCATTACTTGCATTTTTTTCCTATACTTTGGTGGCATATTTGTTTAATTTTTTCTATCCATCATCCGAATCCCCCACATTTTCCACATTTTTGCAGTATGCATTTCAAAGAGAAATCCTAAAGCATGGTGAAGTTGGACACTTTTTGTTGCATAGTATCTTAAATTATTCAATTAAGCAAAGCCTTCTTTTAACTGATGTATATACATCGTACCATGTATCTGTGGCGCTAGTGTGTTTGTGTCTTCAAGTGTGAATGGGAGGGGGACATTTACATTACGAATACAATATCCCCATCACCCCTACTAAATTATCCGGGATTATATTTCAAATTCTCAAATGAATTTAATTTATTTTGGATGTGCCAATTGATAGATCGATATACAAAAGAATTAAATAAAACCTCAAATAAGGTGATATGATAATATCTATTTCAAGATATACAGTATATGTATATCATTAAGTCAATAGTTGCACAAATAAAGTTATAAACACTATTGTCAACCGTTAAATACCATGTGCACTTTTCAATTGCAGGGACGTGGGGGGGGGATTAATATGTACCCCAGTCCATGTAGCCTTTGGGGGTACACATACCCCGATGTTCTTCCATTTAATATAACAAGCGAAGCGCGACATCCAGGCACTATTCCCATCTTTGTTTCTCACACATGATATAAGTATTCAGCTAGCCTGTCAGTACTTTTGCAAAGAGGCGTTCATTCACAAATAAACCCGACATCTCTATCACATGGCAGGTGAAAGAAAGCCATACCACCAGCATGCATGCCTATTAAAATGCAATACTTTGTTGGGACATCCCAGTTAGCCATAATAATGGCAGGTTCATAAAACACTGACGTCTGGCTGTTCTTCCAAACGCAACGTTGACCTATGATGCACTCTGCGTCACTCCAATAGAGCTGGCCTGAAATGTAATTAAGACTCTTTTTAAAAACATGTAGTATTTGATAAAAAAATGTACATTCGGTGATGAAAAATGAAGTGAAGAATGCTTTCTGAGTTTTTGTTAGGGTCTGCTAGTTTCGAATACGTAAGTATGTTACCATCAATGTAATTTCAAGAAAACATTCAATTATGACTGTTAAGTTCTACAAACTCTTGTTATTTGGTTTAGGGGTGAATGCGAGGTATCATGTAAAGTAAAAATGGTAATATACATTATTACCAATAACTGTCACAAGGTTCTTTAACCATTTTTACACTGTCACTTTATATTTCTGTAGTCAGTTCTTTTATCTATAAATCAGTCGATACATATAAGATGGACATAGACAGACAGACAGAAAGAAAGATAGACGGACGGACATGAAGACCGAGAGACAGACATCTCAGTTACAGAATTGTATTGTTTAAATGATACATTCTGATATTAAAGCTATTGAAATTCTTGGTCAAAATAGTATCAAATAGTGTCAATAACATTCCACCAACTTCAGTAGTAACAGCCGTACTATACGTAACAAAAGAATTTCATTTTTTTCTTTTGTTATGTTACGTCATTTGAACAATGGAAAACCTATAGCGAACAATGGGGATGTTTACAAAATAAACAAACAATTTTTTTAAGTAAACAAACAAGACTCCCTATTTTTGTTTACGTTTTACTATGGTAACGGATGACGTCACAGAACGGGCCTGGGCATGTCGGGGTAATGTTCACGTTTCACTATGGTAACGGATGACGTCACAGAACGGGCCTGGCCATGTGGGGGTAATGTTTACGTTTTGTCATAGCGACGGATGACGTCAAGCGCAATTCTTTTGTTAGGCGTGTTGCATGTTCAGGCGTGCAATTTGAAGGCTATATATGTTGGAATGGTCAAATCAAACTCCAATTCACTGGCCTAAGTTGTACGTTCGAACATCAAAATGTCGCAGTTCTTCAAACTTGGTGAAGATAGTCTGTTGTCGATATGCAGAAGCAAACAGGGGGTCCAGTTGGTCGTCTTCAGCGATTTGAAAACGTTGAACAAGATCCGGATGCCTCGAGAAGCATGGGAAGATTTTAAAAACACCCTGCCTTCCGTCCAAACTGCTATGTCTACCGATACTGAAATAGATGATCAGCTGGGGGAAAACTATAATGTCCGTGTGCTGTACGACATTGGTAAGGAGGAATCTGTGATGAAGCTAGCCTACGCACCAGTAAGTGAGTCGTATGAAGCGATGTACGATGTACAATTTGACAAACGCACATTGGAGTCGTTGCTGACCAAAATGCCTGAAATCAACGCAGCGCTGGGTGAAATCCCTCCGACAACAGTCAGCGAGGAGTCGGAAGAAAGTGATGAAAGAATGTTCGGGGCCGAAAACGATGTAGAAGCAGACGTAGTATTAATTCATCTCATTTACGTGAAGTTGATCGTGCAGGAAATAGAGGCCATGCGTTGCTTTTACTGTACTGGGTGTATAGCCGCGCACGGTTCCCAAAAGCATCACATGGATGGGTGTATGGCCGACTGGTCAGTTTCGGTACATGTGTACTTCACCAGGGCAAAGGCTGCTGTAAGTCATGAGGTAATACTGAAGGCATACAAGTTAATGAAGAAAAAACTGAGACAACAAGAGAATCCATACATACTTTCCGTCATCGTGACTGCATCGCTGCTGGAAGATTTTCGGAAAGACGTGGAGGAACCCAGCCATGTGTTAGCCCCTGATACCGTCCTCGCTCGTATGGTCTACGATGTGTGCAGGATTGTATATGGCGAACATTTGTATAAGGCGATAAAAGATAAAAGCTCAGACTAAACTCTGAATTGAACAGAAAAAGACGCCGTATAATCTGTGTAGAATTAACAAAATTTGCATGTTCACTAGCTAGAAGTGTGCGATGAAAGAAGACATTTGATTGGTTGATTATGACATCATATCTAAAAATAGATTTATATGTAAAACGTAACTTTGATGTGATGAAGACAATGTGATAGTAAGGAGTTGATAACAAACATTTCATTGATTAAAATAATATGTGATTTGATTGGTTGAAAAAATGTTATTTGTTGTGAGCTGTAACATGATTGGTTAGAAAAAATGTAATACCTTTTAAGAAGCATCATGATTGGTTAAAATAAACACACAGCTTACCTGAAAAACTACAAAAATGTGTTTGCGATCATTTTTCTTTATACTGAGTAGACAGAATGGATGATGATCATCCGGAAACCGATTCCGAGTTGGGGGGTGTGCTTTATGGACCGG